TAGAAAAATAATAGTACGATAGTTTTTCAATAAAAAGCAATAATAAAAATTATTTAATTAAAATAAAATTTCAAATATATATAATTTATAATCTAATTTAAAAAATAATTAATAATTAATCAATAATTTTATCAAAAAATTAATTTAAAGTTAAAAAAATAACTAAAAAAATTTTTTTTAAATTTTATATATAAATTTATATATAAAAGTAATTGGAAAATAAATTTTTTATTGTAGTAAATTTTTTAAAAATAATTAATTAAAAATAAAAAAAAATTTTTGACATTCAAAAAATTTTTTAAAGATTCTTAATGAAACTGTATAATAATATATTTAACTTTTATTTTGAAAATTTAATTTTAAAAAAATTTTTAAAAAGTTCAAAAATAGTAATTTATTATTAAATTAGTATATTAGTATTATTATTTTTTTACTAAACTTAAATAAATTATATAACTAAAAATTTTTTTATTGTTAAAAAAATTGTAAAAATTTTATTTTTATGTTTATTTATCTTTAATTTATAAACTTAATGATTAAAATAATTATAATAATCATTTATTATAAAATTTTTGTAATATATTTAAAATCTATATTTTTTTAAAAAGTTTTTTTTATTCTTTATATTCTTAAATATATATTTATTTATTTATTAAATTTTATTAAATAGTTATTAAATTATAAGTAAAAATAAAACAAAAAAAATGAGGGCAAAAAGTTTTGTCCCAAACTGTATATTTCGTTACAATATTTTTGGGGATAGAATCCGAAAACAAAATTGTTCGTTTATCAGAAAAGGAAATAAATAACCACAACAGATTCAATGACCGGTTCTGGAGCAACAGTTCAACCGATTAAAATCTTCAAAGAAGTCACTTTTTATGTAAACAATGTTTTGTTATTTTGCATTCCTATTTTATATTTAGCTTTAAGACTCTTTCGTGATTTAATAAACCCATTAAAGAATAAGATCTAACACTCTTATACGTATTCGATTAGTCTTTATATCGTACAAACTCAAATTAGGCATTTGCAAATTTTATAACAAGTATAAATTTTGCTGTATATACGCATTTTTTTATTACAATAAAATTATAAATACGTACATAATTTACTTACATGTCTCTTCTTAAAAAATGTCTCATGAATTTCATAAAGAGTTTTTTACCGATATTGGTTATCTGCTTAAGAGTGGAACCAATTATGATGTGATCATCAAAGCCGGAGAAGGAAAAACATATAAAGAATTTCATGTTCATTCCCTAATATTATGTGCGAGGTCTCCTTATTTTCAAACCGCGTTATCGAATAACTGGGCGAGAAAAGTTGGATCGTTTATCGTCTTTGAAAAGTCAAACATTTCTTCTGCCACATTTAGCATTATTTTAAAGTGAGTATGAGTTTAATGCGTAATATTTTTATTGGGTTTACTGTATACGTAAACTCTAAGAATATTAACGATTAAATTAAAATAGATACTTATATAAAGCCAGTATCAAATTAAGTAAATTAGATGGAGCCGAAATATTACAGCTTCTAGTGGCGGTTGATGAACTATATATTATTACTCTTAAAGAAACGGTCGAATCCTTTTTGCTTGCAAAGAGGTCTGACCTTCTAAAGAAGGATCCAGTTGGTCTTCTTCGAATGGTCCTACAACACGAGGCTTGTGTTACTCTAAGAAATCCCTTTATCCAAACTATTTGTGGAGATAGAGAAATCTTAGAAAAAGATTTATGTGGTCTTCTTCAAATAATTTTACAACACGAGGCTTGCGTTGCACACAGAAATAACTTTATCGAGGCTATTTATGAAAACGTCGATATTTTAAAAAAGGATTTGGTCAATATTCTTCAAGTTAGCTTTGCGAATAAGGCCTGCAATACTCTTAAAAACTTGTGCATTTTAATTTATTGTCTAGATGCCGAGACATTTTTTGAATCTCCATATTTCTTAAAATTAAAAAAATCTCATATTAAAGAGATTTTACTTCAGGATTACATTAGTCTAGACGAGATTCAAATTTGGAATTATTTATTAAAATGGGGAGCGGCACAATCTTCCTTAGATCTAAATAATAGGGACGAATGGACAGTCGAAGAGTTTCTAAAATTAAGGGATATTTTTCAAGAATTAATACCCTTAGTCAGGTGGTTTCAAATACCCGCGGCCGAATTTCGAAAAGAAATGAAATTATTTAAAAGTTTACTTTCAGAGGATTTATTTCTAGATGTAATAGGTTATAGTTTAGATCCTAACACGCCACCTAATACAGTTATGTTACCATCAAGAATTCTTTCATCGTTAATTAGCAAAGATCAATTTAGAAAATTGACAGATAAGATTAACGAACGTAGCGTAAAAATATACGAGGGCTACTTTAAACTTTTATATCGCGCTAGTCGAGATGGTTTTAAAGCCTGCGATTTTCATAGGTTATGTGATGATAAAGGTGCAACCGTTTTTATAGCAAAATGTCAAGGGCCTGATGAATTAATTGGAGGATATAATCCGTTTAGTTGGAAATCCTACAGTTTGCGCTCTCAAAATACCGGCCGCTCTTGGGGAGACACAGCGGAAAGCTTTTTATTCTCTTTTGATGGCCTAAATTTAAATAACATTGTTTATCCTCTCCCCCAGGATACTCAACACGCCGTTTCGTATGATACTAACAGTGGGCCTTGTTTTGGCAAAGGGGATGGTGAATGCGATTTACGTATTGAGTATAATCAAATTTACTTTTCGAAAGGTACCTATTTTGTTCATGACTCGGAAAAATTTTGACTCATATATTTTGCAAGATTATGAGGTTTTCTCTCTGTTTTTATAGACATTATATTGTAGTACAGCAAAAGTTATTATATTACATCCTATACTGTATGTACTGCCTTATTTTTATATA